AGTACAAGTGGTGGCCTACAGACACACACTCATACACACATACACAAACACACACATATCCACACACATTTCTGGCAATTCAATAACCATTTAGCTTTTTGGGGGGGTTATTTTTTTTATTTGACATATCAGGCTTTATATATTACTAAATTATAAAAATGTTTCTAATCTTTTTTTAATGCAACCTAACCTCTTCTCTCTTACACAAGTTACACAAAATACTAGTTACAAATGGACAGCAGGACAGAAGAAACTACCTATTGGTAGTGCTGTCGTCATGTAAACACAATAAAATGTGTTTGTTTTCCATGAACGACTCAACACTGGTACATGACCTTCAAGTGACCTGGTGGAAAGGGGAGTGTTTGTCACCTTTCTCCCTCCCTCCACTACCATGAAAAAAAACATTGAGTAAGAGACATTTGTACATCTTTTGGTTCACAAAAGGAGGAAAGTTGGCAAGTCTTAGGCAATTAATCTCAAGGGATGGGTAAAAGTTTAGATAAAAGGCGTAAATGATTTCCTCTTTCAGTCTGAAAACAGCCTCTACAGAAATATTTATAAGGCAGGAACCGGAGAAAAGATAATGCTTTGAAATATGGGAGTGTAAATACGCATCATCGGTTTAATGGTTCCTCTTAAAAAAGAAAATATTTTTGAAAACTCTTGGGAAAGTTGCCAGGTGAGGTGCAAAGCGACTTGAATTTTCATCCCAGCACTGGTAATTCCTAGCTCTGTGACATGGAACAAGTTACTTAACTTCATAGAGTCTAAGTTTTTTCACCTGCAAAACAGACATATTTATGTCACAACATAGGATTACTGAGAAGATTCAGTAAGTTAATATATATGAAGTGTTTGGCATGATATTAGACTCTGTAGGTACTTGTTTATCATTAGCTAATAGAAATAAGCCTGTGATCACAAAGAAAATTAGGTAATTTGGAATTAAATCTTGTATTTTTAAAACTTTTAAATGATCGAATACATTATTTTTAAATATAGCACACCCATTTGTGATTCAGAACAAAAATAATATTGTGTGGCTTTATGAGTGTGTATTTATGGACATGCACACACATACATACATACACATAATTCATTTAATGAACAGAAAAATAATGTCACTCCATAACTACTGAAGGCCTTCCATGAATGTCTTTTCATATTCCTGGGTTATCCCATCACAAACTCTATGAGTTTGGACTTTGAAGTACATAATGCCATACCATAAACTCTTCTGTCCTCCTAGCAGCACAGAAGGCTCACATCCTGTTCCAGAAGGTGGACAGACTGCCTTTCCAGACAGCTTACTTGACAAAGATGCCAAGCAGCCATTAGGAAGCTTTCACTTTGCTGACAGGAAGCACAACTGGGGGAGTTTCTATTTTGGGTGGTCCCAAACGAGTCCATACAATCTAAAAAGCTGGTTTTCTGCAGGAAAACTAAGTATGGCTTCATAGAAGGAATGTTGGAATCAGAGCTGGTTTAGAGGACTGAGGGTTTTACTTATTCAACCTTGAAGGTATTGCTCAATATTGTCCGAATTTCCATTTCTTTATCTCAACAAACACTAGCTCATTTGATTAAAATAAAAATAACACCTTATCTGTTAACACTTCCCTCTTGCTGTCTCTGCTACAACGAACTGCATGGGCCTTCTCTAAGCTTCTGAAATACACTGAGCTCTTTTTTTTTGCTTCAAAACCTTTGCACAAGTTTCACTTTAAACCAGGAAGTCTTTTTCCATCATATTTATTCTGACTTCTGTTTTGGATCAGCTTAAATATTACTTCTTCAGAGAGGCTTCCTCTAACCTCCCCTATTATTTTCTGTCTCCTACCACTTGTCATAATTTACAATTGTTTCATTTGTTTGGTTTCATTATAATTTGCTCAGCTATCTTACTGAATATAGGTTCCTCAAGGGACACTAGCTCTCTTGCTCACTACCATATTCTGACTGTCCATTAAAGTGCCTGGTTTGGTTCAACAAAAGTTGTTGCTTGGATAAATTAGCATTTACAGAGTTGTTGTATAATTTAGATAATTTATGACATATTCTACAGTCTCAATAAAGTAAAAATTTTTAAAGTTATTTTTAGGTGCAGAATTGGCACAAATTTATCTAGTTCCTATGTTAAAGGAGCTGTGATTGGAAAAGCAAAGAATGGTAGGGTCATTGTGGAGTCAAACTCATTGCTGACTCACCAACAGGCCAACTAATGATGGAGAATCCCCTGAGGCCAGATGTCATGTACTTGAAAATATTCCCAGGGTTAGAAGCACCAACAGCCATTTCAAAGCTTTCGTTTCTTACAGACCAGCCAGACAAGGAGCTGACCTGAGCACATTCTCAAGATAACACTTCCTCTACCCCACCTAGACTATGGCAAATGTGAGTCTTTACAAATATGGCTGTGCCTCCCTTACACAAGCTTGAGATAGGTGGCCTTTCCTCTCACCTTTTCTTCTCGTCTTTTCACAGAGCAAAAGAAAGCTGTTTCAATGGGCCCTGTCTCTATTTTCAATAAAAATGAACATAATCTAAAACTCAATGGAAAAGTGTAGTTAAGGTACTGAGGGATGTTTCTACTTCATTTTTTTCAATTGATGACTCCAATCCAGGTCTCTTTAAGTGAGTCCAAGCAGACAAAGGGAGAAAGGAGGGTTCTGCAGATGCCCTCTTAAAATCAGAAAAAAAGGCCAATAATAACTGATGATCTAACAACAAACTGTCAATTCTGTGTCACTGAGTCATCTTCTGTTGGGAAATGTTTGCATTTCATTCTGCTTTTAGGTACCACTGGATGATTTATTATTTTCATTTTTTAATTTTCTTAGCGGGTTGTCATGAAACTTCAGGTCGTTAGCATGAAGAACAAAATGCCATATAAGCTACAATTTCCTACATGAGTACACTAATGATGATAATTATAATCACTGAAGGCTCTGACATTATTTATATCAACTGAACTCCAAGATGGTCCAAAAATCATCCTTCAGGATATATATCACCCCTTTCCTATCTCATCTTCTGATCTCTGTTCTCATTCTAATCTCTTGAAGCTTTCCTGTGATACTCAACCCACATCCAACATCTAGGCTGGGCCTTGTTTCTAACATTGTTCAAATCTCTGTAGTCCTTTCCGTTTTTCATAGGAACTTGCTGTGCTATATATTATGCAATTTCTAAAGACACTATCATGAAAATCACAAGTGACTTCTGAGAACAGATTACATAAAGGTCATGGCAAAGTTAAGTTTGTTTATCTCAGGATGCTGAACAAAATGGAAAGCTGTAAGCACTTTTGGAGTTTTTGCATTGAATACTATGTTTTCTCTAATTAGGAAAGTTACTTTCTCCTACATGTCTTCAATTAATATGTGCTATTGGTTTTCCAAATGACCATGCATCAATGTTAGTACACGCCTCCTTTCCCTTTCTCAGTGATGGAATATGCTAAATTAAATTGATACATAGTTTGGGGGAAATTCTCTATAAAGTCCTTCTACTCAATGAATCAAGACCCCAAAGGTAAATCCGCTGTGCCCAGTAATTTAAGCAGCCTAATTAGTTACAATTTCATGTCTCAGAAGTTGAAGCACTTAGATTATGGGGTTTGTTTGTTTGTTTGTTTTGTTTTGTTTTGTGGTATACCAGAATAGTACAAACAGTAACTAGGTTACTGCAGAGAATATTAAAACATAAATTCATAGAGCCTTCAATTTTTCATCACAGAGGACAATCTGATTCAGATGACTGTCTAAGCTAATATTTTTCTGCTTAAAATTTTTGAAATTATAACCCAAAGTGAGAAGTAAATATTGTGATACATACAAGCACACACATTACATCTAAAATCAAGGTTATGTGAAATAATAGCCTCATTGGATATGAGAAGTGCGCTTGTCATGTTCAAGGTAATGCAGGGTCAATGTGGCTGAAGCAGAGTGATGGAAGGCAGTACCCCTACTGCTTAGACGAGCTGAGCAGGTTCCAGAGGGTCTTGTAGGCCATGGTAAGGTTTCAGCTTCTGTTCCACATGTGTGATAGGAAGAAAGCTCCTGAGGGAGTTTTAGCTGAGGAGTGACCTAGTGTCACTGGTTTCAACAGGATCATCCAGGCGGTTGTGTCACAATAGACTGTAAAAGGCCAAGTGTGGAAGCTGGTGAGTGGGGTGGGGCCAGGGCCATAGTGGTGAAATGGGTAAAAACAAGACAAAACAAGCAGCACATTTCTGGATATATTGTGAAGGTCAAACAATGTTGAGAGACCGGAAGTGTGATGTGAGAGAAAGGTGTAAGAGTCAAGGGCAACTTCCAGGTTTGACCTGAGCAACCTGAGAAATGGGAGTGCTATTTATTGAGATTGCAAAGATGACAGAGAAACATATTTAGGGGAAGAAAACAGTTTTAAGTTTGAGCCATCCATTGGACATTCAAGTAAATATGTCTGGTTAGAAGCCAGAAATTAACTAGTCTCAGGTTCATGAGAGAAGACCTGGCTGAGTGTATACATTCGGGAGTTGTCAAAACATGTTGGTATTTAAAAAATTGGATGAAGAATTTCTGGTCACCAAAAAAGTAAACACTGACTGAGAAAGAAAAGATCCCTGGGGAGGTGGGGGAGGGGAGGGGTGGATGCTCTCATTGAGCACTCTCTCCAGGTACAAGCAACTGCTATCAACATCAGCACATTCCCAAGTGCATATCTTAACACTAGGAGGAAATTTCACAAGGTCCTGTGTCCAGGCATCTCATTTGCCTTAGCTGGCTTTAGCTTCCGATCTGCTGGAGTCTATGACTGCAACTTCAGTTTAACCAACATTCCTAAGTCCCTGTGAGGCACGCAAAATTGAGCAAGCCATCAGCCTTGTTGTGTTAGTTTGCTAGCGCTGCCATAAGAAAGTACCACAAACTAGAGAGCTCAGAACAACAGAAATTAATTACCTCACAGTTCTAGAAGCCAGAAGTCTGAGATCAAGGTTTCAGCAGGGCCATGCTCCCTCCGAAGGTGCTGAGAAGAAATCTGTTCCAAGCCTCTCCCAGCCTCTGGTAGTTCTTTGGCTTGTGGCAGCATAACTCCACACGAGGTCCTCCCAGAACACACATCTATGTTCAAATTTCTCCTTTTTTCTTAATCTTCACCTGAGGGCATGCTTCTTGATTTCAGAGAGAGAGAGGAAGGGAAGGAGAGAGAGGGAAACATAGATGTAAGATCAAAACATCGATTGGTTGCTTCTCATACAGAGACCGACTGAGGACCAAACTCACAACCTAAGCATATGCCCTAATCAGGAAACAAACTGTGACCTTTCAGTTTATGGGACAATGTTCCAACCAACTGAGCCATACCACCCAGGGCCAAATTTCTCCCTTTTTTAAGGGTAGCTGTTATATTGAATTAGAGGCCCTCCCTGACCTAGTATGACCTCATCTTAACTACATCTGCAATGACCCTATTTCCAAATGAGGCCACATTTTGAGGTGCTGTGGGTTAGGACCTCAGTATAGGAATTTGGATGGGGGGACACAATTCAGCCCATAACACTTGTTCCCCAAGAGTTTATGATCTAGTTAGGGAGCAAGGAATATACATCACTGAAGTGTGTGAAAAATGACATTAGGTTGGAATCATAATGGAATCTGTTCCCACAGCAAGGACTCCTCTAATGCTATCTTACCTACCAACAGTTTCACAATTTCTCAGCATGGTAATGAATAAAACTGTTTTACAGGCACACCAGTATTGTACAAATATTTCACTTATGACAAAAGTCTGAATAACAGTATTTCTATAAAGAAATCTTGTACCATTTGTAGTATGAAGCAACATGTAAAAAAGGCTCAATTAAGAAAAGGTTTTCAGACTTCCGCCAAGATGGAGGCATAGGTGGAGACGCGATGCCTTCTCACACAACCAAGTTTAGAGACAACTAAATATTAGCAATAGAAAACACAGACAGAACACAGAAAATTGAACTTTTCGGAAGTCTGTTAACAACAAATTCTTCAGCCTGACCGGTAAGGGGCCAAACCAGCAGCTAGTGGAGCGGGGTTGCACAGGAAAACTTGGTCAGACATACTCAGGCGTGCGGAATCCAGGCACAGGCTTGGACCTAGTGAAAGACTGAGCAAGTGATCGAGCGAGCGACAGTGGGGAAACAGCGAGGGAGCAGGGCTGCGGGTTGACTGTGGTTGCACATTTGTGCGCAGATAGACAAGCTAGGGAGTGGGCGATTGGACCGGGACCCAGCGTGGGCGATTGGACCGGGACCCAGAGGGTCCCGCGGCAAGCGGCAGCGGAGGGCACCACCATTTCCCTGCTCTGACCCCACCTCCACATACAGCGTCATAACCCAGCGACTCTGAGTGACCCGGCCCTGGTGAACCACCTAAGGCTCTGCTCCTCACCCAGAGGCTTGAAACAGCAGAGGGTGCCGCCATTTCCCCGCTCTGACCACGCCCCCACATATAGCGTCACAACCCAGCGACCTGGGAGTCCAGGGCTCCACTCCTCACACTTAAAGGGCACGAACAGACCAAAAATGGCTCAAGAAGATCTCAAAGCCCCAGAGCCTATAGATCTAAGCGATGAAGAAATAGCAAAACTCTCAGATGCACAGTTTAAAACACTGGTGATCAGGACCCTCGCAGAACTGGTTGATTATAGCCACAAATTAGACAAACATATGAAGGCAAAACTAATTGAAATGAATGGAATTGCACAGGAAACCAATAGTGATGAAAAGGAAACTGGGATTCAGATCAATGGAGTGGGCCAGAAGAAAGCAAATAATGGCCAAACAGAAAAGAGTCAAGAAGCAAGAATTCAAAAAAATGAGGAGAGTCTTAGGAACCTCCAGGACATCTTTAAATGCTCCAACATCCGAATTATAGGAGTACCAGAAGGGGGAAAGGAACAGCTACCAGTGGAAAACTTATTTGAACAAATAATAAAGGAGAATTTTCCCAATCTGGCAAAGGAAATAGACTTCCAGGAAATCCAGGAAGCTCAGAGAGTCCCAAAGAAGTTGGACCCAAGAAGGAACACACCAGGGCACATCATCATTATATTAGCCAAGATTAAAATGAAGGCAAGAATCCTAGAAGCAGCAAGAGCTAAGGGGACAGTCACCTACAAAGGAGTTCCCATCAGACTGTCAGCAGATTTCTCAAAAGAGACCTTACAGGCAAGAAGGGGCTGGAAAGAGGTATTCCAAGTCATGAAAACCAAAGACCTACAACCAAGATTGCTCTATCCAGCAAAACTTTCATTTAGAATGGAAGGACAGATAAAGTGCTTCTCAGATAAGATCAAATTCAAGGAGTTCATCATCACCAAGCCCTTATTATATAAAATGTTAAAGGGACTTATCTAAGAAAAAGAAGTTAAAAAAACATGAACAGTGAAAGGACAGCAAACTCACAGTTATTAACAACCACACCTAAAACAAAAGCAAACTAAAAGGACAGCTAGATCAGGAGTGGAAACATAGAAATGAAGATCTCAAGGAGGGTTAGCAATAGGGGAGTGGGAGGAGGAGAAGGGGGCAGAAGGTACAGAAAACAAGTAGCATAGACAGTAGATAGAAAATAGATGGGGGGCAAGAATAGTATGGGAAATATAAAATCTAAAGAACTTGAGACACATGGTCATAAACTAAAGGGGGGTAATGGGGACAGGGAGGTAGGGTGGAGGGGAATGAAGGGGGCAATAGAACAACTGTAATGGCATAATCAATAAAAAATAAATAAAATAAATAAATATAAAAGAAAAGGCTTTCAAGTAAGAAAGAGAAAAATAAAAGTGATACAATGGAAGCCATGCATTTCCACTTATCATAACCAAGAGAGCAAGGCATGTATCCCTTTAAATTGTGTCCACATGACAGAGCAGAGTGGGACTTTGGTGATTATCCAGTTAATCAAATCAACTTGGACATCCATGTGATAATTCAAGCTCCAAGTGAACTGGGCAGGTGTTTGAAAGAATTAGTCAGAACGTTAAATATGGGTTTCAAAGAAGGGGACTGAGAAATTAGAGATCAGTGAAGATGAATTTGAGACTTTTTTCCTGAAATTTTCAGGCTGATCATAATTATCACAGAAATACAGACATCAAATATATATATATTTGTTTATTTATTTATTTATTTAAATGAAATTTAACATATAAGATAGAGAATTCCAGGTGTGGTGGAGAAGTCTTTCCATACTGACATTGAAGTGAACCCTCCATTTGTGGCTGTGAATGTCCGGCACCTCATTTAATTTGTTCCTACCATCAATGGCTTTCTACTAAGGTGTAAAGAAATAGCATATCATCCAAATGTTATCATCATATGCAGAAGTACACATATCATCCTTATGTTCTATAGACACAGCCTATTTCCTTATGCGTATTTTGTTGCTTCTTGTGCTCAAATAAAAAAGTGTCTTAAGAATTGTGTCTGGTGGGGGAAGTGCTATGTCGGATTTTTCACCCTTCACAAAACCATCAAAACAAAGAAAGCTGTTTCTCAAACTCTTTCTCTTTCCATACTGTTATTCCTTTGTATATGAAGTACTTGGAAACAAATACCAATCTGATGATGGCAGTTTCTTGCTAAAAATGCTTCCTTACCTTTGAAGCCAAGTACAAACTCTGAAACATTATCTGCAAACTCCCACTGGATCTGACCCCAGTGCACTTGTCTAGTTATAGGAAATGTTCTATTTTTCAGTTCCCCAGACAGTCAAATCTGTCTTTTGCTTCTGAGCATTTGCTCCTGATCTCCCCTCGGCATCTGTGTTTCCCCATCTCTGTCTGATTTGCTCTTACTCACTCTTCCAGTCTCAGTCTAGACGCCACCTGTTTCCAGAGCCACCTCTGATCCTCAAGTTGACACTCAGCCTCCTTCTTCCAGCACTTCCTCCTTTTGTAGCGCTTATCACACTGGAGAGTAAGTGTGCTGATTGTTCTCCTGCTTACTTCGTGTATTCCCTGACATACCATAATCTCTCTGGAAGGCAGACGATGATTGTTTCTTGTCCAATATTGTATTCTCAATGCCTGGAGGACAAAGTTATTACTAGATCATACTTTGAACAAATGTATAAATTAGTGGAGGTAAAAGAAATATATCTGTGATCTCTCTGGGAGATGAGAAACTACAAGTACCATATTTTCAGGACTATAAGACACACCTAGGTTTTAGAGGAAGAAAATAAAAAAATTTTGAAGCAAAAAATGTGGTAAAATATTTAATAACCTGTGACCCTGCTTCACTGCCGCCATCCCCCCCCACACACACACACAGAAGCCAGGTAAGCTACATTCAGACTATAAGACATACCCCATTTTCTCCCCCAATTTGGGGGGGGGGTATGTCTTATAGTCTGAGAAATATGGTACTTAGGAATAGCTAATATTTATTAAGTATTTCAAATGCCCTTTCTCTTAAAAAAAAAAACCCAAGTATAGTTCATCTACAATAATGGAGGTCAGAATAATGGTTACCTTTGGGAGCACTGACTGGGAAGAGGCACAAGGGGACCTCCAGAGGAACAGGAAACTTTCCCAACCTCAATCTGGGTCTTAGTTTCATGGACTTCGACATACATGAAAATTCACTGAGCTGTGCACTTAGGACTTGTATACTTTATTGCATAAGTTAATAAAAAAAAGAAAAAACATTTTTCTCACCCTAATGCCAAGGATACAGTTTCCCTTTTGTTAGCTCAAGAAAAAGGGTTTCTACTTCTAAAGGTAGCTTGTAATGCTGTTTACGATGGCATCTATTTGATAAGATTGCCCCAAACCTCCTGGCACAGGTAGGGTGACCAGTGAAGGCCTTTCCTTCTGCCTCTAGAGCCTGCAGCAATTGTGAGCCAGCTAAGGGTGGGGCTTGTCTGAGCATCCCCCTGGGAATCAGCTCTGCAGCAGGTCTCCCTGACATAGGAAACTCATTCTACCCTGGTTCTAACCCCATACGCACTATTTTCACATGGGTGTCAGAAAACCCAGGAATCCTTCTGATCATTAGTCACCCTACACTGAACCCATCTCCAATAGTAACTAGAGATTCCCTCTAACTAATGATGGAATTCCCCAGTTCTCAAACTCACTTCTTCAAGGGGACTTCCAATGAACGAAGCAGAATTCTTGTGCAATTAAGCCATCACTTTAGTATATTATCCTTTTAAATTGTCTCAAGAAATTAGTCCATAGGGCAATGGCGTTAATTTTCCTCTTATAAAATGAATTAAATTTATATGCTTGTTTATAGAATTTTTAAGTTATTTTCATTTATAGTTACACTTGCTCATTATATGGAAAGTACTCTTCTTTTTGAACTTTTACTCTATATTCATTCTGGTGCCATATTTCAGACCAACTGTAACATTTTTAAATTAACTTTATTCTCACTTGTCTTCTCCATCAACCCTATCTCTTTTTGTTGTAGTTCAGCCTTATAATACCTAAAATCCTGTCTTGGTCTGCAGCCATTTGGAGGGTAATATATGCCATACAAATTGATGACAAATTGTCTTTGCCTATTTGTCTACATCATCATTCTGGCTTTGTCGTACCCTGCAGTTATTCAATGTGGAATAATGGTCAAAATCAATTACAAACTTGTAGTTGTCTTTGACTAAGGAATACTTATTATTGTTATTACAAGCTCTTGGTTTACTATTTATGAAGGCAAGGACATGCTCCTCTCTGAAGATTTTATCCTTTCAAGGGCACATAAAATTTCAGAGTTGTTTTTCAGCTCCATAAATACACATATGGCCGCATAGTCTTAACACAGAGCATCCATCTTGAGTTTCTTCTGGTTCAAGCAGCCACGGAACTGAATCCCATACAGCCTATATAAGCCTGAATACTGAAATCAATTTTAATGGGAAAAAAAGAGTTCAACTGCTTGATAATTCAGGACAAGAAAAAAGTGTAACTTGAATTTTAACAGTAAAGTTGACACAAGTACGTACCCTTGGAAAAGAGAGCTGCTGATTTTTTCAGTTCTATGTGTATTGAATATATCAAATGCTTTCCAGAAGTTTCTGAAGTCGAATTTGAAGTCATGTTAATGAAGATTCTAACCTTAGAAAATCAAGACATAAAACAATACTGGACGTTATCTATTATAAGTATACACACACAATACAGGATCAGTATGAGATAATATAGGGGCATAAGATTTTAATCCAAAACTTAATGGCTGAAAACAATAATTATATTTATGTTGCTTAATGAATCTGCAATTTAGGCAGGGTTCGGCAGAGGAAGGGAATACAGGATGTTCATGGAAATAGAAGAAAAAAGGTTTTATTCAAAAGTACTGTGTTTAACCTTGTCTTGTGTGGTTCAGTGAACTGAGTGCTGTCCTGAGAACCAAAGGGTCGCCAGTTGGATTCCTAGTCTAGGGCACATGCCTGGGTTGCAGGCCAGGTCACCAGTAGGGGGTGTGCAAGAGTCAACCACACACTGACGGAAGTTAACTTCATTAACTTCCAGTGGGGCTCTTCAGGGGCCATGGAGGGCAAAGTCAGCCAAAGAGGGCTCTGAGATGCCAATCTGGAGGCGATAACCACAGGGAGTGGCCAGTACTGCACAGTTTGAAGAGAGGGGGCTCCAGGAGGGTGGGTACCATCCAGCTGCTGTTGGCTGTTCTGAGGAAGAGCCAGTTCTGAAGTGCTGAAAGAGGCTGGGGCTGAGGTCCGAGCCAGCTGCCGCTGGTGGGATGAATGGCCAGTAGGGAACATTGACAGGATGGGCAATAAACATGAGGGAAGCCACTTCTTCCTAACTCCGGCCTTCCATCTTCCTCTGCTGCTGCCAGTTGGCAGAATTAGCAGAAAGGCAGCTGGCAAAGAAGTCTGGGAAATACAGTTTCCAGAATCCCAGTCCCACTTTGGCAGGAAGAGTGTAAAATTGGTGAATTTGGAGCTGAGAGGCAACAGGTAAATAATCAGCTTATTCTAGTATAAAAAAAGAAAGAAAGAAAAAACTACCACAGGATTTAAGAGAGAGAGAAATTGGGAGTTGATCAGAGCTAGACTTTGGTGCGTCCTGAGATTTTGTTTTCTAAACAGAAGCACAGAACACGAAGAGAGAAAACTCAGAGTGAAACTTCTTAGCAGACATATATGTAGATGTCACTTGGGGATCAAGTGCCCCACCCCCACCACACCTTGATAGGACACTCCCCCTGACCACTGTCAACTTAGATACACCCCCAGATTTGTCTCAAATTGATTGAGATTAAATTTTGGTACCCAGGCAAAGTGAGAACTTCACAGAGAATTAGTTCATACCTTAGAAAAATGACAAAGTTACTATTTCAAGTATGTCTGAATTTGTGGACGAATTAAGTTATACTCTCTATAGTAGAGTTTCAATTGTGCAAACAGTGTAGACATAGGGAAAATGCTGGAAGGATAAATTATTTTTGCAATTATGTTTACAATTATTGTTTCTAGAGGCTAGTGTGTTATGACTGATTATTTTTGCATACTTTTCATTATCTTCTTAAATTTCCACAATGAACATATACCACTTTTACAATACAAATTATTAAAAAGCTTGTTGATGCAAACATTATATTGTGATTTACCATTAACTCATGCATCAAATACATTTATCAACCGGCCTGATAAAAAACCTAAATTTTTCTTTTTCTTCTCATAATATATTACATAAGAAATAGTAGAAATTAGAAGGTCATGTGAATTCTATTCCTTGATGTGTTCTCTTAAACCTCTGGTAGCGTCTGAATACAAAGAGGACTGTAGTCTTTATTTTCTATTTTATTTTCCCAAGGAAGTATTAATCCAATTACTTTCTAGTTTGAAATTTTTGTAGATTCTTTCTTCTGCCTGTTGACCTCTAAGACTGGCCCTCGTATGATAGCATATGATTGATCTGGAAAATACAGCAGAAATGATTTGTGGAAAACCTTGGAGGCCGCATTCCAGAGTCCAGACAGAGTCCTGATTTTGTCAGTAAAACACAGACAATGGGACAAGATCTGGGAGATAAAGATGGTTACCGGAAAGAAATAGAAAAGAAAGGTGGAGCACTTCATTTTCCACAGAATCCTTTTCACCGTAATACTTATCATATAGAAAAACTCTCTTATATTAAAAAAAAGAAAGAAAGAAAAGAGAAAGAAGCATGAGAAAGACTGAGATCATTTAACTTTTGGAAGAGGCTTTCTCCCAAGAAAAACGGTTACCTGGAAATGTAAAATTTCCATCTGTCTTTCCGCATCCTGCCTTGCAATTGAGTGTAAATTCCTTGTGTTATTGGTCCAGGAGATATCCACAGATAGCAACATGCCTGGGATTCCAGAAGGAAGAAAAAGATACTTTCGAAGATGCATTCCAGTTAGCATCTGTAGAGAGGCCAACACCTGAAAGCATGTTTTAAAAGGAAATAAAAACACAGGATAAAAAAACAACAAATGAAAATCTGTGATTGTCATTAAATCAAATATCAGTGTTGTCAATTCTGTGAAATACTTCTGGGCTGCAGCACATGTTGGCCGGCACTTCCCTGCCCGCCCTGCGGTTAGGCTCAGCCAGGTGCACTGGCCTGTGAGATGTGACCGAAACTGCTCTGTGTCACCTCTGGCTTCTACAAAGGAGATGATGAGCCAGTGCACAGTTCCCTCACTTCTCTTGCCTGGCTCCTGCCTGGCACTAGCCTGGGCTCCAATCAGACCACAGGGAACCAAGTGGCCCCATTGACCCTTGATGGATATGTAGCATGAGCAAAAAATAATCTCTGTTGTTTTTAATCTCTAAGATTTGGGGATTGCTTGTTATGGCAGCATAATTGAGCTCATCAGATGTTACACGTCCATCCACTAAAGCATTTCCAGCCCTGGCTGGCGTAGCTCAGTGGATTGAGTGCGGGCCTGTGAACCAGAGTATCACGGTTCGATTCCCAGTCAGGGCACATGCCTGGGTTGCGGGCCAGTTCCCAGCGGGGGACGCATAAGAGGCAACCATACATTGATATTTCTCTCCCACTCTTTCTCCTTCCCTTCCCCTCTCTCGAAAAATAAATAAAATATTTTTAAAAAAAAGCATTTCCAAGAATCTATGTTCGTGTTCTCCATTGAGGGAGAAGGAGTCGCTGCAGGTTATCAATTCAGGGTTAGAGCAGGGGGTTAGAAACTTCATGAATGTGCTTTATTTATCTACTCTGTTTAAAAAGTAAGGTTACATTATGCTTCCTCTTAGTATAGACGCTGTAGTAATGCTATAGCATTGGAAAGAATACTTTTTAATTTTCTGTTCTGCTATGTCCCTGTACACCTAGTTACATCTTAAAATATTTTGATGAATGTTTAATGTACAGTCTCATGAAAATAACTGATTTCTTTTTGCCTTGACAACTGTCACATTTTAAAATGTAGGTGTTTCTTTATCTCTGCAATAAATCTAGGCAAATTTTTCATTTTGCTGATGAGGTACTTCATCTGACAACCACAACAACAACCAGAAAAGTACGCTCTTCTTCCCTGTAATGAATCCCAGAAGAAACAGAATGAGTAACAGGAGATTAGTGTTTGAAAAAGCGGCCATTGCATGGCTGTGAAAAGAAAGGTCTGAGGATACGGTTATTGTGACTATGAATTCATGAAATGTATCCAATTATTTTCTTCAAAATCTTGTAAGGCATTCCTCCAGGCTGCTCATGATGCCCCCCTTTTTTCCAGAACTTTATATTGTGCCTTTTTAAAAATCATTTCATTTTTTTCAGATGCTCTCCTTGGTAGGATCAATTTAAGAATTATTATTGCTGGGCGTGGATCTATTTGAGAGAACCTGGCGCCTTTGAAGCTGCTGTTTTTCCATCAGCTGGGAGCAGTAACCTAATCCCTGCTCTCTGAGGGAGGGACGGGCTTTGACCTAAGTGGACATCCCCCCGCCTCCTCCACAGGATAAGAATGGAGGGAAGAGCTGGGCGGCAGGACCCCAGCTGAGAGAAGGGGGAAGCAGGGAAAGATAAGAACTGGGGTTTCAAATATCCTTGCTGGGAATTCTTCACAGTCATTTTTCACTGGGGCTGGCTGCTGTCAGAGTTTTGATTACTGCCTCCTCTTCCCTGGGAAATCTTTTGTTCTGTCCCTCTAGCGTCTGGATTTCGGCCAGGCTGGTTTTTTTTGTGTGTTTTCCAGGTGACTCGGGTCTGTCTCAGTCCAGCCCTGGAGTGACTCATCCATCTGTAACCGAGAGATCGCTGTCTTGCGTCCAGTTTTCCTCACATATCCATGCCACGAAAGGCCAGGGCAAGGTGGTTGCTTTTTTGTTTTTTCCTGGCTGTTGTCTCACTGGCTCAGAAAACCTGAAGTGCATTCAAGCCAGGGAACTGGGCACTTCCATCACTATTTTTATGGGCGTTTTTTTTTTTTTTTTGGTTATGAACAGTGAAAATAAATCAACATGTTAAAAAAACAGAAGGAGAACAGAGAAGGAATGCCATTTGTAAGAGATTTCTAACTTATGAGTCTGGAGGACCTGTCACATCGAGCTTGGGAATGACTGTAATTAGCTGCATGACTGGACCGCCTGTCGGTGTGGCACATGAAGCTGAACCACCCGACGAGGGAGCAGCCGGTGGAGAAGTGAACAGACGAGGGGAGGCCGGTTGCAAATGCAAACTCCACTGCTCATATTTGCCTGCATTTCCACTCCGTTAACAAAAGGTGATTGACTAAGACCCATTTTTGAATTCTTGGTTTGTAAAAGCTGCTGAGAATATCAATGAAGCCCCACCCAATTTTTGCCTTTTGCTAAAGCAGCTGCAGAAAGTAAGAAATATGAGAAACAGAACCAGTTTCCAAGTCCACAGCCAAGGGACTTACCATACGAATTTAAAGACTTGTCCTGGGAGGGCTTCAGGCCAACTCACAACCTGGGTCCGTTTACAGGGTGCAGAGCGGGCTATGCGATGGGGCCAAGAGCCCGTGGACCAGGGAGGCCCAGAGCCTTCACAGGGTGCTTGTGAGCCACGGGCTGAACAGGGGCCGTTGTCTGTACCTCCATTTCTTTGGCGACACCACAATCTTCTCCATTATGAGTCTTGGGTGTGACCTGTGTTTAGCGAAAAAGTCTGAACAAGTGGTGGGTGTTATCAAGAAGCCTATTGATAATGTAACAGAGAAGCTGGTCTGTTCTTGTTCCAAACCAAGAAGCCCCTTCCCAGGGGTGCCATTCCCAGTGCCACACTTTGAGTGCCATTCTGGGCAAGGGCCACTTCAGGAATGGGGCTGGGCATGAGCATTGGTGAGAATAAATCAGGAAAAGACCACAATGTCACAATCTGAGGACACAAAAGGGAGAAAGAGCATGCTGGATATCCCCGAAACAGTCTCGCACCGAGTAAGGAAAAGCTGTGGCTTTATGTTGGAGCTTCCCAAGAATTTTACTGGCTGTCCCTCCCATGACTTTCCAACTCAGAAAATCCCCTCAAACCAACAGCGTCTGCTTGCTGTTTCACAAACCTTGGCCTGCCCTCTCTTGTTGCTGGACTCACACCTTTATTCATATCATCCCCTTCCCTTACACACGTAAGTCCCTATTCTCACTGCTAAAGTTAAAAAAGGCGCGCTCTGCACCACCTCCACCAAAGGCACAATTTCTCATGCGCTTTAGGCCTGCCCATTTTGTTTCTGACAATTAATCATATACTGGCAGGCAGCACCTTTTACATTGATGTCTTGAATTCTCTCTACATGCAGTTTTTATTATTTAATTTTTATATGCATAAACATGTAAATAATGCTGTGTGTGAATCAGGTCACTGCATACAGTAGAAACCTTAGGAAGACAGTTTAGCATGATGCTTTTCTCTTAAGTAACAGAAGTTTAGAGACAAGGACAGAATCTGGTTCATTAAAGATAGACTTCTCTCCTGTTCCGCCACCCTGCTACATGGCTTCTGTGCTGAAGGTATCTTAATGAGGCAAGCAAGTTTCTGCCACATTGTCTACAGTCAAAGCCCAGGAAGGAGAAATATTTTTGATAGGAATTCTTCACCTCTCTCCAGCTGAATCAGCAACCTGGTAAGAGAGGGCCTTCTCAGAAGTCCCTCTGGACACTTTTCTTATATTTCATTGGCCAGTACATAGCCAGCTGCCTACCCTTGACAATAAGGGAGGTCAGAAAACTTAGTAGCTTAGCTGGGGCCATTGCCAACATATGTACTATACTGGTTTTGATACAAAGAGAGAAAGGAAGCCTAGATACGGGGAGTCAGCTAGCAGTCCCTGCCACATGGTCTGACACATAATTTTGGGGTGCATCCAGGGTACCTCTGAGTAATGAAGACAGCAAAGAACTGGACACTCTAGGAAGTTCCAGTGAGTTATGGAAAGGTAACAAACGGATGTTTCACAGACCACATTTTACCTGCAGACACACTTTATTCAGCCAACATAATGTTTAAAATTTTGTTGAGTTGACACTTAAAATTGGGAGGATATACATAAATTCCAATAAGAAAAACTAAAGAACTTTCCGAGTGACCATAGTTCTTCCTCGCAGCCCCCCAAAGGGCTTTGGGTGGGCCCATAAACCAGTCTATCAATTACAGCTGTAGCCACCCAGTTTCCCTTGCGTTTCAGCCCCACTTGTCCACTCACCACAGAGGCTCCTCAGGGTTCCCTCCCCAAGGAGCCCACCTGGAAAGTACCAGTGTGACCAGGGTCACCCTTAAGGTAGCCAGTCACCTCTAAGGGTCACCTTTAAGGTAGCCAGGCATTGGGAGACTGAGAGGCTCCTTGAGACAACCGTGGCTCCCACGCAGCTGTTTCCCACTTCTTCCCAGAGCAGCGCCGCCTGTGGCCTGTTGAAGCCCTGCCCGTGTTTCTGACCTCCACGCTGTCCTACATTTCCGCATATCTAATTAAAGAGGTGCATCAGCTTTGGGTACCCAGATAGCCTCACTGCCCAGGTACCACCTCAGTTTCAGATGTCATAAAGACAGCAGATGCTATGCCCTGCTCGCCAGCCTCCACTCCTCTCTGCTCCCAGACTGTGCCTCCAACCCAACTCTTCCCTTTTCATTTACCAATGAACTGGGCTCCCGCACATCAGTGGACAGAAGCAAATAACTGATGTGGTCTGGGGGAGGCCACACAAAGTCCTAGTGAGCCCCTTTCTAGCAAGCTCACAGGTCCCATGGTTCGGTGAAGCTTCACCAAATCTCAAGGAAGCCTGGGCAGGGAGGATTCATGTGAGTGGCAAAGAAACTGGCTCAGAGGCTTGGCATGAAGTAGTCAGGCAAGCTGAAAGGAGGAGAGGGC